GCATAGAATTTGTTGTTGTAGTACTGTCTATCGCACCTGTTGCGTTACATGTTAACACATTGCGCAGTTCTCTGACTCCCTGCACGGTCGACAATCTTTGGGTAAAATTTAAAAGGTCAGCGTCGGCTGATGTTCTGAGTGATCTTCCAATCTGAAATAAATTTGTTAAATTAACAATATTTAGTTCAAATGGATCAATTAGTTGAAACAAATAAATATTTATTTCTTTGAAAGGATTTTCTTATATTAAATAAGTATTTTTTATATCAAATAAATATTTAATGTTTCAAATAAATGATTATTTAGATGTATTAAATTAAATATTTGTTAATTTAACAAACCTGTTTTTTTTTATTGCACTTTTCGGTTGACGAAGGCAGGTGCGAAGATATATAGGCGACAATTTGATTTTATGTCAAATAATCCGGTCACGTGAATGTCCAAATCGTGGATAAAAATCTAAAACAATATTAAAAATGTAGATAACTGTATAAATATAGTGCTGATATAAAAATCCCGAAATACATTTGTTCTTTACGATTAAACATTATACATTTTAAAAATTCATATTACATTAATTTCGCTAAAGGAAACTTTTCTTTCTTTCTCGTAAACACCATAAACGTTTTTATTAATCTTTTATTTTGGCGAGTTTTACCAATTATTTCTATGTTATTTTCACAAACTGTAAATTTTTACTCTTCTCCATGATAGAATATATTATATGTAATGAAAGAAATGCATCAGTAATAATTATCTTTCTGTTTTTTTAAATAGCAATAGTATTACGTTCCGAAATAAATTTTTTTACGTAAACACATTTTGATAAAGCGTTCAACAATGGAAAATGGAGTAACTGTCAAAGCGGTAAAAATTAGAATTACATTTTTAATTACACTTTTAAAGAGAGAGAGAGAGAGAGAGAGAGAGAGAGAGAGACATTATTTACAATTATATTTATTCTTTCTTTATTTTAATGTTTCAATTTAATAATTATTTACATTTTTATTAATATAATGATATAATATAAAGATATTAATTGAATTTTTTCGACAAATTTCAACTGTTACATGTTTCTTACAGCAGCTGTTAAGCATTGAACATCTTTATCATATTACGTCAGAGACGACAAAATTTTACAAAGTATAATATTAATATTTTAACTTTTATTATGTACCCGGACAGAAGTTTATTGAAAATTAAATTTTGAGGTAGTGTTTCCTTCAAAAAACATAATATATTTTATTTAGAGATAATAAAAAAGGTCACATTATAAAAAGTTTTACACTATGTATGCCAAATAAAATGAAAATGATAATTATTTTAATTGTTAGAAACTTACAATTTAAAATATATATATATTTTTATATCTCTTTTATAGTTTATATTTCTTTATAACTACGTTTACATAAGCAATCTAAAACTAATATTATCTACAAGTTATCTAGATAACCATCATATAATTGTTATCTTTTATCTATATATTTTATTTTACAACATTATCTTCACACATCTTATCTAAGTTAATATTTTATCTCATCTTTATTTAGCTAATTTTAGCTAAATAATTTAAATTTTATAAATCATCTAAGCACAATATAGATTATATATGTTAAATAAAATGAAGATATATGTGATACTTACAGCTCGTAATAAGTCGAATTGTTTTTGTGGCAGCAAAATTGAATTTGTTACTGATAGAGGTCATCAAAATAATATCTTGTTTGTCATCAGGTAATGTTATGCGCTCATTAATTAATCCTTCTACCGGTCTGTTTAATAATTCATTAACGTGGTTTATTTTTGCCTCACAACTTATGTACAGTTTTGAGTTGATCATTGGATTGTTCAAGAAATAAAATATTGTCCCACCGAGTTTAGATGGACATTCTTTTTTGTTAAGGTCCATCCAACATCTAACGTCATAATTGCAATTCTCGGAATAGGGTTTCCATCTTAGCTGAAACCGAATATATAGAATTAATGTTTGTAACATATTCACTTTTTCTACATAATGGACAACAATTATTAATAAATCGCTTCATTCAAGTTTTATTTTTTGTTTGCAATTATTGTATTTATATGTTAGCATATATATTTTTACAGTATATATATATATTAGTATATATTTAACACGAAAAAAGCCAAAATTATAGATTTTTCGGATAAGAAAAATTTCTAAAATTGAAGAAGCTATTGTTACAAAAATTGGTCACTGACAAATTTAAATTGTGACAAGGCGTTGAATTTTAATTTTGCTAAAACATTTTCTGTCAATGCAATAAAACTTTTAATAATCATTCAGATTGACGGTGTTTACATAATAAATTTTATATGGCGGAATATATCATACAATGCAACAATGCGTCAAGAATATTTACCTTTTTGTCTGTTCTATAAGAATAATAGTTAATAAAATCTGTTTTGCTGATGATATCCATGTATTCTGGTCCTAAATAAAGAATCATTTTCAGGCGCTCCGAAATTTCACCTTTACTCAGAAGAAATGTCAGAAAAAGTGCATCATGTAGGCAAGCCGGACTGAACACAAAACTTTTATTCTGATTGGCACCCATGACCTTATGCAGACACTCCATCGCAAAAGCTAAACGTCCTTTCTTTATTGTTTTTTCTAGTGAATAGAATAGATACAGAATAAATAATAAACTTAAGAAAAAAAATTAATATTAAGTAAAGCTATAGTAATTTAATTATAATAATTTGCAATAAAAAATATAAATGAATATCTTAAATTAACAATTTAAAATATTTATTTATATTATTTATTGTAATTTACTATAATTAAATATTTTTAATTAAACATATGTTAAAATTAAAAGCGTAATGTACTGATACATTTTTGATAATTATTTTAAACGCGTAAATAAAATTTTATTATAACTCACGCTTAAGTTTAAAATCACAAAACAACAAAATCAATAATGTATATGTGAAGACACTCGGGACTATAAAAATTAGTAAAATAACTAATGTGCTGTTATCAATATTTAACAACAGTGTTACGTTTGAACGTCGATAAACATGACAAATAAAGACCCGGCAATTATATTTTGAAAAATTGTTAATATACAAAACTTAAGTCGAGATCGACGAATTTTATTGTTCAAAAATCTTTAATATTTAACTGTAATATTTAAAGACACAAAATAAAAAGTTTTATTCTGCAATAATTATATCTAAAATTCTAATGTTCTTATTGCGTTTATATGTTTATATATTTAAAACGTTGTTCTATTATTTTAATAATAATTGATACAATTTTAGAAAGAAATTACGTTAATCTATCCAAGACCTGTCATTAGCTATTAAATTACATAGAAATGAATTTATTGGGCAACAATACATAATATAAAAATAAAAGCATAAACATTTTTATATTACTTTATATTTTAAATTATTATTTTTTTGATAAATAAACACAATAATTACTAAATTTTATACAATACTATTTAAACTTACCAACTTCTTTTGACTTCCTATCACTCATCTTATTTTTCTTTCGGTTCATCTTGTTTTAGTTATAAAATAGCAATTGTCAAGAACAAAAGAATGTGCTACAAAGTTAGCAAATTCTAATTAACAGTCTTGATAGCAATATAATTTAGCAATTGCCGTCTCGCTCGCGTCTTGTTAATTAGCGTTGATATAAAATATAAGTTGCGCGACAATAATTTAGGCGAATGTGAGATTATTTTAATGTATTTTCTCTCTCGTTCGTGATTCTTTTGTATAGTGTCAAATCAGGAAGTTTTCTTGCTCGGTTCTTCGTAGACTGAAAATAACTGTTCTAGCAGAATCATAATATAAACTCACGAAAACAAACACTCATGTACGGATACACATAAAGAAGACATTAAAACATATCATTTATTATTGATGTTTAATATTCAAAATTTATATATAATTATATAAATACATGTCATCTTACATTTTGTAATACAATTATAAAAATATATAGTAATAAGTAGACATACATACATGTGTGTGTATATATATATATATATATATATATATATACAGGGTGTTCGGTAACAGGTGGGCCAAAATGTAAGGAGTGATTCTACATGATAAAATAAGACGAAAATCAAGTATGACAAAATTGCGTTCGAGACTTCGTTTATTAATTATAAAAATTTTACACTTTGCAAAATATACATCAACTGTTACGATGTAAGTTTTTGTATATTTATGCGTCACAGTGTATTTTGACGGCGACTCTACCGATGTACCTTACGCACGCCAAATATCGGAAAATTGCCGTGCGTCAGGCGCCCTTAATGCGAAGTTTAAAATATTTATAATTAATAAACAAAGTCTCGGACGCAATTTTGTCATTCTTGATTTTTGTCTTATTTTATCATGTAGAACCACTTCTTACATTTTGGCCCACCTGTTGCCGAACACCCTGTATATATATTTGTAGCGTACGTCTAATATAAAAGAATAAAAAATTCATCGATTCTGTTAATGTTGAAAATATATCAAAATAATATATTTTATAAAAAATTACATTATAATGCATAGAACTGTGCTACATTATAATAAAGTTGAAATAAAATTAATGACATCGTATTGTTACACATATTTGAGAAAGAAAGGTTTAATTATCTTTCTTTCTATTAAGTTTTGTTAGAATAATTAATATTCTTATACAATATTATAAGCAATATTGAAATATATACACAATACATAAGTATTGTTCAATGCATAAATATTTTTAAATTTTGAAATAAACAAGTTTTTTTTTATAAATTTGTTTTAACATAGAATACGAATAAATTGATTTAATGAAAATAATTATATGTATCTTTCGGGACGTATTTTTAGTAATTTACCGAAATATACATTTTGTCACAAATAATAATAACAATACTTTCTAATGTAAGTCATGCTTTATCTTCTTATCAGTGAATTAGTAAGGCGAAAAAGTATAATACTCTAAATCCCAAATTATAAAATAGGTTAATTATAATTATGTAACATCTATTTTATGTATATACATATATACACATATATATATATATATATATATATATATATATATGCTATACGATTGCCTAAGATACTTGATATAATTTAGAAAAAAAGTTAGTCAATCTAATCGCAATAAGATCTGCCAAGTAAATTGCTATTAAATTTTATGGAAATATAAATCCTTGATACAACAATTTATAACATAATGAATAAAAGAAGAAACATTTTAATGTTACTTTATATTTTTAATTATTACTTTTTCAATAAATCGACTCTATAATTTCATAATTTTACAATAATTTTTAAACTTACCAACTTCTCTTGACTTCTCGTCTCATCTTGTTTTTCCATTCTATTTTAGTTATAAAATAGTAACTATCAAGAAGTAACCTTGTTAACTTCAAATCTGTATAATTCAAAAAGTACTTAATGAAAAAATGTTTTATTATAGTGTTTTGGAAAGCTTTCGAGATAAGCTATAAGAATATGCAATAAAAAATAGGAGGCAAAATGCATTCTAACTGAAGATATTAGGAGGATCCGATACTTTTCGATGACCCTGTATGTATATACACACATATTTAGCGTACGTCTAATATCAGAAAGTCAAAAATTCATCGAATCTATTAATGATGGACAATAAAAATATATCTAAATAACATATTTTATAAAAAAAAGGTAAATTATAATGCATAAAACTATACTACTTATAACAAAATTGAAATAGATTTAATGATATTGCATTGTTACACATATTTGAGAAAGAAAGATTTAATTATATGTTTTTTAAACAGACAACTTTAAAAAATACGGGCTTTCTGGTTTTTATTTTTAGAATATTATAAATTTATTGCATGCATACTGTTATGTGGGTTGATGTAATCCGATTCAACTACACCGTGATTTTATATATGTTTTGTATTGTCTTTATTATTACTTAATTCACGAACTATAAGTCCGTGTATACTGTGCTTTTAGTGTTTCCATATAACTCTAATCGTTAGCTACTTTTAGCTTAGTACGCTAAAATCAGAACAGAACCGAGAAGAACTGTGTCGAACTGACAATCGTTCTCTTTCTTCCAGGATCCACTATCTCTTCTCTTGCTTATTCTAATAACGCCTCATCGGCCTGCCTGATCGTGGTTTAAAAACTATTGGTTTGTCTTCGGCTATTTGGTATATAATTACAATATAACTACAATATAATATATGTAATATTAAAAATGTTACATCTATGAGTGGGAAATTACAACTAACATGTACGTTACATGTAACATGCTTAAGTATATAACATTTATATACTGTGTTTGCTGGGTATCTGTCGATACAATTTGATAATCGGTGCAGGCACTATTATTACAACTGCCGACACAGAGAATTTCTTCTTGCAGTCTGTCGTAGATCAGCCAGACGAAAGGTTTACAACCTTTTCTATTTGCCATCCACAGAGGCATTCTCCACCGCTACGGATCAAGGTCACTGCGCCTAGAACCACATCATTTCTTGTAGCTCTTATGTGAGAACGGTGCGAAACATTGTTGATGTACACCTCGGGACCATTAATCATCCACGGATGACATGATCGGCATTTAGTTTGCAATTCGAGCATTTCGGACATCACCAATTTTTCGACGTTTATTGATTTTAATAGATTACGGACTGGCACATTTTTCTCCACCTCGAAAAAAAAACGAAAAATTTTGGGAATATGTAAATTCTTTTAATCTCGATGTTCTACTATTTCTTAACAGCTCGCGCAAATTGTTCATTTCTTTGTTGGTCGACATTCGTTGGATCAAATAGAAAAGATCATTGCTGCTAATGTTCTCAATGATCTTCCATCCACCTGAGCCTAACACAGCAGGTAGGAACGTAAATAACGAAATGGTGGCATTATTATAGGGTATGTCCATCACATACATACATGCTCAGTTTTTCATGGTAGTCTAAAAAAAACGTTAAACCTATACTGAAAAAAATATTTGTATAAAAAAACAAGGTTATACTGGCCTTTTTTCGACCCAGCATAATCATGCGATACTACTAGCCATATGGAATATTGAATATGTTTTTGTTATATAAATATATTATTATATATATTAACAAATTACTTTTAGATATAAACCCGAAAGCAATACTTATTAAAAATAAACGTAAACGATATTCTCTCTACATAACGTTCTGTTTAGGATTTAATTGAAAGAATAGATTATAAAAATCTTGTTATGTATGTTAAATGAAATAAAAATATGGCGTGCAATTACAGCTTATAATTTGATTGTTTCTAATAGTCGATACATTTGATGCTTTAGCTTGATGAGCCGATGAATTACGGAATATGAAGACTTCGTAGACTGAAAATAACTGGTTCATTGGAATCATAAAATATATACACACGAACGCAAACTGTCTCTTATACAGATACATAGAAAAGGAAGACATCAAAAGAAATCATTTATTATTGTCTAATATTCAAAATTTATTTATAATTATATAATAAAAAAAAATACACATATATGTACATGTATATATATTTATATACATATATGTATGTATATATATATATATATATATATATATATATATATATACATAGCGTATGGCAAATATAAAGAAACTAAAAAATTCATTAATTCTGTTAATGGTGTTACATCCTGGTAAAAAAAATTTTTATGTATATAATTATTTTATGTATATAATTATACATATAAAATATGTCCATAAATAATTAGTTATAATTATATGTAATTATATCTCTATATGCATCACTGTAACATTTTAATTATGCATGTTTTAATTTAATTTAATATTTATGTACTCATTTTTTAACAATTACATTAATGTTTGAACTTTAATCAGTTTGATTTTTTATATTAAAATTAAATTAATTAGCATAATTACACTTTCAAAATATTTCGTGCGTCACCTTTTGTAAATTACATATAATATTCAAAACTAAAATTTATATACGAGATTATATATAAAACATTACAGAAAAAAATATTTATGTTATTTGTATAATTATATATAGGAAAGTCAATCAGCAATATATGAAATTATATACAAAGTAATAAAATGATATATATATATATATATATATAAATAATTATATATATAATTATATATATATATATACGTTTTTTATATACTTTTTATATAATTATACATTATGACAAATAATTACATACAAAAAAATTATTATCAGGATACACAATAAGTATAAATATAAACAAAATACAATATTTATACATATGTATAAATATATTAATATACTTATTAAAATTCGCAAATGCTAATTAGCAGCTTTGATCTTAATATTATTTAGCAATTGCCGTCTTGCTCGCTTATTGTTAATTAACCTTGCTATATTGCTTATAATTTTTACAATGATAATTGAGACACATGTGAGATTATTGTATCATTTTTATGTATCTTCTATTACTTGAGATATTCCTCGTAAACTAAAGATAATCTATCAAAACAATAACATATTCACAAAAATACAAACAAATTCACTCACGGATACTTAAACAGAACAAAACATATAATTTAATTTTAATGCCAAAAATTGAAAATTTATTTATAATTATATAATATTACATCTTACTTTGCGTAATACAATTATAAGAATATATAGTAATAGATAGACATACATATATGTATATATGTATACAGGTACATATATAGCGTACATCTAATGTAAAAAAATAAAAATTCATCGATTCTGTTAATGTTGGACAATTAAAAAGGATCTAAATAATATTTTACAAAAAAATTATAATGCACAGAACGCTATACAATTTTATAACATGATTAAAATGCAGTTAATGACATCGCATTGATACACATATTTGAAAAAGAAACATTTATTTATATTTCTTTTTATTAAAATGAATAGAATCATTAATTAATTTGGCTATAAGAGCACAGCCTATGTTCTTTCTATTAAGTTCTGATAGGATAATTAACATTCTTACAATTTTATAAGCAATATTAAAATATGGACACAATGATACATATAAGTATTGTTAAATTTCGAAATAAACAATTTTTTTGTTTATAAATTGTTTTAGCATAAAATACGAATAAATTGATTTAATGAAATTTATGACAGAAACAATATACATAGATGCATATACGTACATACAAACATTCATACACAATAAGTGCTTAAATTATGATGTATAAATATTTATATATACTTACATAAAAATATACTTATATAAAAATGTCTTTATATGTATGTGCATATGTGTGTATATATGTATACATATATGTATGTGTACCTTTGTGTACATAAATAATACGTTATAATTTTTATGTAATTATATCCTTATGTGCATTACTATCTTAATCGTGCATTTTTTTGTTTAATTCAATATTTTTCTACTCAGTTTTTTAACAATTACATTAATGTTTAAACTTTTGTCAGTTTAATTTCTATTTTAAAATCAAATTGATTAGCATAATTACACTTTTAATATATTTTATGCATCACCTTTTGTAAATTACATATAATATTCAAAACTAAAATTTATATACGAGATTATATATAAAACATTACAGAAAAAAATATTTATGTTATTTGTATAATTATATATAGGAGAGTCAATCAGCAATATATGAAATTATATACAAAGTAATAAAGTGATATATATATATATAATAATTATATATACAATTATATATATAAACAATTATATATATATACGTAATTTTATACTTTTTATATAATTATACATTATGACAAATAATTACATACAAAAAAATTATTATCAGGATACACAATAAGTATGAATATAAACAAAATATTTATACATATGGATATGTATGTACATATATGTATCCTTATATATTTTTAGTGCTTTATAAAATATACATATTGTTACTAAATAATATCAATGCTTACTAATGTAAGTTATACTTCATCGCCTTATAATGAGTAAGTTAAAAAAACAAAACCATTTTGCTCGGCACTATTACAAGTGCCGACATAGAGGATTTCTTCTTGTAGTGTGTCATAGATCAGCCAGAGAAAAAATTCATTGCAATTTACGCTGACTACTTCGGTGTTTGCAGAGGAGTCTTCTTCCCTGTGCATCAAGATCATCGAGACCACATCGCTCCCATTTTTTGACATATCTACAATTTCAAATTTGGGTTTATCGATAGAATTTAAGAAGACTCGTCGATCCGCCGCTTTTTGCTTGACGAGCAGCCTGATGTACTTGGCATATCCGCCGATACAGGTTTAGTAACAGGCTCGGTATTATTACAACTGCCAACATAGAGGACGTCTAAATTTGTGTTAGCGATCATCCAGATGACTGGATTATTGCAATTTATGTCGACAATATTGGAATTCGAAGGAGGGTCTTCTCCTTTGCTGCTAATCAATGTCGTCGCATGCACGACCACTTCTTCACTTGTAGCCTTAATGTGAGAACGATGCACGGCATTGCGGATTTGCACACGGGGATTATTCCCAAATATAGTATCTAGTTCGATCATTTCGGACGTTAATAATGGTACATTTAATGTTTCGAGAAGCTCACGGATTGTCAGATCTTTCTCCAACTCGAAAGGCAAAGCATGCATAGAATTTGTTGTTGTAGTACTGTCTATCGCACCTGGTGCGTTACATGTTAACACATTGCGCAGTTCTCTGACTCCCTGCACGGTCGACAATCTTTGGGTAAAATTTAAAAGGTCAGCGTGGCTGATGTTCTGAGTGATCTTCCAATCTGAAAATAAGTTTGTTAAATTAACAAATATTTAGTTCAAATGGATCAATTATTTGAAACAAATAAATATTTATTTGTTTTGAAAAGGATTTTCTTATATTAAATAAGTATTTTTTATATCAAATAAATATTTAATTGTTTCAAATAAATGATATATTTAGATGTATTAAATTAAATATTTGTTAATTTAACAAACCTGTTTTTTTATTGCACTTTTCGGTTGACGAAGCAGGTGCGAAGATATATAGCGACAAATTTGATTTTATGTCAAATAATTCGGTCACGTGAATGTCCAATGGTGGATAAAAATCTAAGAACAATATTAAAAATGTAGATAACTGTATAAATATAGTTCTGATATAAAAATCCCAAAATACATTTGTTCTTTACGATTAGAACATTATACATTTAAAAAAATTCATATTACATTAATTTCGCTAAAGGAAACTTTTCTTTCTCGTAAACACCATAAACTTTTTATTAATCTTTTATTTTGGCGGAGTTTACACAATTATTTCTATGTTATTTTACACAAAAACTGTAAATTTTTACTCTTCTCCATGATAGAATATATTATATGTAATGAAAGAAATGCATCAGTAATAATTATCTTTCTGTTTTTTTACTCTTCTGTTGTTTTATAATAGCAATAGTATTACGTTCCGAAATAAATGTTTTTTACGTAAACACATTTTGATAAAGCGTTCAACAATTGAAAATGGAGTAACTGTCAAAGCGGTAAAAATTAGAATTACATTTTTAACAATTTTAAAGAGAGAGAGAGAGAGAAACATTTATTTACAATTATATTTATTCTTTCTTTTATATTTAATGTTTCAATTCAATAATTATTTACATTTTCATTAATATAATGATATAATATAAAGATATTAATTGAATTTTTTCGACAAATTCCAACTGTTACATGTTTTTTACAGCAGCTGTTAAGCATTGAACATCTTTATCATATTACGTCAGAGACGACAAAATTTTACAAAGTATAATATTAATATTTTAACTTTTATTATGTACCCGGACAGAAGTTTATTGAAAATTAAATTTTGAGGTAGTGTTTCCTTCAAAAAACATAATATATTTTATTTAGAGATAATAAAAAAGGTCACATTATAAAAAGTTTTACACTATGTATGCCAAATAAAATGAAAATGGTAATTATTTTAATTGTTAGAAACTTACAATTTAAAATATATATATATTTTTATATCTCTTTTATAGTTTATATTTCTTTATAACTACGTTTACATAAGCAATCTAAAACTAATATTATCTACAAGTTATCTAGATAAACCATCATATAATTGTTATCTTTTATCTATATATATTTTAAACAACATTATCTTCACACATCTTATCTAAGTTAATATTTTATCTTATCTTTATTTGGCTAATTTTAGCTAAATAATTTAAATTTTATAAAATCATCTAAGCACAATATAGATTATATATGTTAAATAAAATGAAGATATATGTGATACTTACAGCTCGTAATAAGTCGAATTGTTTTTGTGGCAGCAAAATCGAATTTGTTACTGATAGAGGTCATCAAAATAATATCTTGTTCGTCATCAGGTAATGTTATGCGCTCATTAATTAATCCTTCTACCGGTCTGTTTAATAATTTATTAACGTGGTTTATTTTTGCCTCACAACTTATGTACTGTTTTGAGTTGATCATTGGATTGTTAAAGAAATAAAATATTGTCTCACCGAGTTTAGATGGACATTTTTTTTTGTTAAGGTCCATCCAACATCTAACGTCATAATTGCAATTCTCGGAATAGGGTTTCCATTTTAGCTGAAACCGAATATATAGAATTAATGTTTGTAACATATTCACTTTTTCTACATAATAGACAACAATTATTAATAAATCGCTTCATTCAAGTTTTATTTTTTGTTTGCAATTATTGTATTTATATGTTAGCATATATATTTTTACAGTATATTTTAGTATATATTTAACACGAAAAAAGCCAAAATTATAGATTTTTCGGATAAGAAAAATTTCTAAAATTGAAGAAGCTATTGTTACAAAAATTGGTCACTGACAAATTTAAATTGTGACAAGGCGTTGAATTTTAATTTCGCTAAAACATTTTCTGTCAATGCAATAAAACTTTTAATAATCATTCAGATTGACGGTGTTTACATAATATATTTTATATGGCGGAATATATCATACAATGCAACAATGCGTCAAGAATATTTACCCTTCTGTCTGTTCTATAAGAATAATAGTTAATAAAATCTGTTTTGCTGATGATATCCTCGTATTCTGGTCCTGAACAAAGAATCATTTTTAGGCGCTCCGAAATTTCACCTTTAATCAGGAAAAATGTCAGAAAAAGTGCATCATGTAGGCAAGCCGGACTGAACACGAAACTTTTATTCTGATTGGCATTCATAATCTTATGCAAACACTTCATCGCAAAAGCTAAACGTCCTTTCTTTATTGTTTTTTCTAGTGAATAGAATAGATACAGAATAAATAATAAACTTAAGAAAAAAAATTAATATTAAGTATAGCTATAGTAATTTAATTATAATAATTTGCAATAAAAAATATAAATGAATATCTTAAATTAACAATTTAAAATATTTATTTATATTATTTATTGTAATTTACTATAATTAAATATTTTTAATTAAACATATGTTAAAATTAAAAACGTAATGTACTGATACATTTTTGATAATTATTTTAAACGCGTAAAATAAAATTTTATTATAACTCACGCTTAAGTTTAAAATCACAAAACAACAAAATCAATAATGTATATGTGAAGACACTCGGGACTATAAAAAATTAGTAAAATAACTAATGTGCTGTTATCAATATTTAACAACAGTGCTACGTTTGAACGTCGATAAACATGACAAATAAAGAACCGGCAATTATATTTTGAAAAATTGTTAATATACAAAACTTAAGTCGAGATCGACGAATTTTATTGTTCAAAAATCTTTAATATTTAACTGTAATATTTAAAGACACAAAATAAAAAGTTTTATTCTGCAATAATTATATCTAAAATTCTAATGTTCTTATTGCGTTTATATGTTTATATATTTAAAACGTTGTTCTATTATTTTAATAATAATTGATACAATTTTAGAAAGAAATTACGTTAATCTATCCAAGACCTGTCATTAGCTATTAAATTACAATACATAGAAATGAATTTATTGGGTAACAATACATAATATAAAAATAAAAGCATAAACATTTTTATATTACTTTATATTTTAAATTATTATTTTTTTGATAAATAAACACAATAATTACTAAATTTTATACAATACTATTTAAACTTACCAACTTCTTTTGACCTCTCATCACTCATCTCATTTTTCTCTCGGTCCATCCTGTTTTAGTTATGAAATAGCAATTGTCAAGAACAAAAGAATGTGCTACAATATTAGCAAATTCTAATTAACAGTCTTGATAGCAATATAATTTAGCAATTGCAGTCTCGCTCGCGTGTTGTTAATTAGCGTTGATATAAAATATAAGTTGCGCGACAATAATTCAGGCGAATGTGAGATTATTTTAATGTATTTTCTCTCTCGCTCGTGATTCTTTTGTATAGTGTCAAATCAGAAAGTTTTCTTGCTCGGTTCTTCGTAGACTGAAAATAACTGTTCTAACAGAATCATAATATAAACTCACGAAAACAAACACTCATGTACGGATACACATAAAGAAGACATTAAAACATATTATTTATTATTGATGTTTAATATTCAAAATTTAAATATAATTATATAAATACATGTCATCTTACATTTTGTAATACAATTATAAAAATATATAGTAATAAGTAGACATACATACATGTGTGTGTATATATATATATATATATATATATATATATATATATATATATATATATATACAGGGTGTTTGGTAACAGGTGGGCCAAAATGTAAGGAGTGATTCTACATGATAAAATAAGACGAAAATCAAGTATGACAAAATTGCGTTCGAGACTTCGTTTATTAATTATAAATATTTTACACTTTGCAAAATATACATCAACTGTTACGATGTAAGTTTTTGTATATTTATGCGTCACAGTGTATTTTGACGGCGACTCTACCGATGTACCTTACGCACGCCAAATATCGGAAAATTGCCGTGCGTCAGGCGCCCTTAATGCGAAGTTTAAAATATTTATAATTAATAAACAAAGTCTCGGACGCAATTTTGTCATTCTTGATTTTTGTCTTATTTTATCATGTAGAACCACTCCTTACATTTTGGCCCACCTGTTGCCGAACACCCTGTATATATATTTGTAGCGTACGTCTAATATAAAAGAATAAAAAATTCATCGATTCTGTTAATGTTGAAAATATATCAAAATAATATATTTTATAAAAAAATTACATTATAATGCATAGAACTGTGCTACATTATAATAAAGTTGAAATAAAATTAATGACATCGTATTGTTACACATATTTGAGAAAGGAAGGTTTAATTATTTTTCTTTCTATTAAGTTTTGTTAGAATAATTAATATTCTTATACAATATTATAAGCAATATTGAAATATATACACAATACATAAGTATTGTTCAATGCATAAATATTTTTAAATTTTGAAATAAACAAGTTTTTTTTTATAAATTTGTTTTAACATAGAATACGAATAAATTGATTTAATGAAAATAATTATATGTATCTTTCGGGACGTATTTTTAGTAATTTACCGAAATATACATTTTGTCACAAATAATAATAACAATACTTTCTAATGTAAGTCATGCTTTATCTTCTTATCAGTGAATTAGTAAGGCGAAAAAGTATAATACTCTAAATCCCAAATTATAAAATAGGTTAATTATAATTATGTAACATCTATTTTATGTATATACATATATACACATATATATATATATATATATATATATATATATAATGCTATACGATTGCCTAAGATACTTGATATAATTTAGAAAAAAAGTTAGTCAATCTAATCGCAATAAGATCTGCCAAGTAAATTGCTATTAAATTTTATGGAAATATAAATCCTTGATACAACAATTTATAACATAATGAATAAAAGAAGAAACATTTTAATGTTACTTTATATTTTTAATTATTACTTTTTCAATAAATCGACTCTATAATTTCATAATTTTACAATAATTTTTAAACTTACCAACTTCTCTTGACTTCTCGTCTCATCTTGTTTTTCCATTCTATTTTAGTTATAAAATAGTAATTATCAAGAAGTAACCTTGTTAACTTCAAATCTGTATAATTCAAAAAGTACTTAATGAAAAAATGTTTTATTATAGTGTTTTGGAAAGCTCTCGAGATAAGCTATAAGAATATGCAATAAAAAATAGGAGGCAAAATGCATTCTAACTGAAGATATTAGGAGGATCCGATACTTTTCGATGACCCTGTATGTATATACACACATATTTAGCGTACGTCTAATATCAGAAAGTCAAAAATTCATCGAATCTATTAATGATGGACAATAAAAATATATCTAAATAACATATTTTATAAAAAAAAGGTAAATTATAATGCATAAAACTATACTACTTATAACAAAATTGAAATAGATTTAATGATATTGCATTGTTACACATATTTGAGAAAGAAAGATTTAATTATCTGTTTTTTAAACAGACAACTTTAAAAAATACGGGCTTTCTGGTTTTTATTTTTAGAATAAATTTATTGCATGCATACTGTTATGTGGGTTGATGTAATCCGATTCAACTACACCGTGATTTTATATATGTTTTGTATTGTCTTTATTATTACTTAATTCACGAACTATAAGTCCGTGTATACTGTGCTTTTAGTGTTTCCATATAACTCTAATCGTTAGCTACTTTTAGCTTAGTACGCTAAAATCAGAACAGAACCGAGAAGAACTGTGTCGAACTGACAATCGTTCTCTTTCTTCCAGGATCCACTATCTCTTCTCTTGCTTATTCTAATAACGCCTCATCGGCCTGCCTGATCGTGGTTTAAAAACTATTGGTTTGTCTTCGGCTATTTGGTATATAATTACAATATAACTACAATATAATATATGTAATATTAAAAATGTTACATCTATGAGTGGGAAATTACAACTAACATATACGTTACATGTAACATGCTTAAGTATATAACATTTATATACTGTGTTTGCTGGGTATCTGTCGATACAATTTGATAATCGGTGCAGGCACTATTATTACAACTGCCGACACAGAGAATTTCTTCTTGCAGTCTGTCGTAGATCAGCCAGACGAAAGGTTTACAACCTTTTCTATTTGCCTTCCACAGAGGCATTCTCCACCGCTACGGATCAAGGTCACTGCGCCTAGAACCACATCATTTCTTGTAGCTCTTATGTGAGAACGGTGCGAAACATTGTTGATGTACACCTCGGGACCATTAATCATCCACGGATGACATGATCGGCATTTAGTTTGCAATTCGAGCATTTCGGACATCACCAATTTTTGACGTTTATTGATTTTAATAGATTACGGACTGGCACATTTTTCTCCACCTCGAAAAAAAAACGAAAAATTTTGGGAATATGTAAATTCTTTTAATCTCGATGTTCTACTATTTCTTAACAGCTCGCGCAAATTGTTCATTTCTTTGTTGGTCGACATTCGTTGGATCAAATAGAAAAGATCATTGCTGCTAATGTTCTCAATGATCTTCCATCCACCTGAGCCTAACACAGCAGGTAGGAACGTAAATAACGAAATGTTGGCATTATTATAGGGTATGTCCATCACATACATACATGCTCAGTTTTTCATGGTAGTCTAAAAAAAACGTTAAACCTATACTGAAAAAATATTTGTATAAAAAAACAAGGTTATACTGGCCTTTTTTCGACCCAGCATAATCATGCGATACTACTAGCCATATGGAATATTGAATATGTTTTTGTTATATAAATATATTATTATATATATTAACAAATTACTTTTAGATATAAACCCGAAAGCAATACTTATTAAAAATAAACGTAAACGATATTCTCTCTACATAACGTTCTGTTTAGGATTTAATTGAAAGAATAGATTATAAAAATCTTGTTATGTATGTTAAATGAAATAAAAATATGGCGTGCAATTACAGCTTATAATTTGATTGTTTCTAATAGTCGATACATTTGATGCTTTAGCTTGATGAGCCGATGAATTACGGAATATGAAGACTTCGTAGACTGAAAATAACTGGTTCATTGGAATCATAAAATATATACACACGAACGCAAACTGTCTCTTATACAGATACATAGAAAGGAAGACATCAAAAGAAATCATTTATTATTGTCTAATATTCAAAATTTATTTATAATTATATAATAAAAAAAAATACACATATATGTACATGTATATATATTTATATACATATATGTATGTATATATATATATATATATACATAGCGTATGGCAAATATAAAGAAACTAAGAAATTCATTAATTCTGTTAATGGTGTTACATCCTGGTAAAAAAAATTTTTATATATAATTATTTTATGTATATAATTATACATATAAAATATGTCCATAAATAATTAGTTATAATTATATGTAATTATATCTCTATATGCATCACTGTAACATTTTAATTATGCATGTTTTAATTTAATTTAATATTTATGTACTCATTTTTTTAACAATTACATTAATGTTTGAACTTTAATCAGTTTGATTTTTTATATTAAAATTAAATTAATTAGCATAATTACACTTTCAAAATATTTCGTGCGTCACCTTTTGTAAATTACATATAATATTCAAAACTAAAATTTATATACGAGATTATATATAAAACATTACAGAAAAAAAATTTATGTTATTTGTATAATTATATATAGGAAAGTCAATCAGCAATATATGAAATTATATACAAAGTAATAAAATGATATATATATATATATATAAATAATTATATATATAATTATATATATATATATATATATACGTTTTTTATATACTTTTTATATAATTATACATTATGACAAATAATTACATACAAAAAAATTATTATCAGGATACACAATAAGTATAAATATAAACAAAATACAATATTTATACATATGTATAAATATATTAATATACTTATTAAAATTCGCAAATGCTAATTAGCAGCTTTGATCTTAATATTATTTAGCAATTGCCGTCTTGCTCGCTTATTGTTAATTAACCTTGCTATATTGCTTATAATTTTTACAATAATAATTGAAACACATGTGAGATTATTGTATCATTTTTATGTATCTTCTATTACTTGAGATTCTTTGGGATAGTTTTGAAATCCTTTTTTGTTCTATTCTTCGTAGACTGAAAATAACTGGTTCATTAAAATCATAAAATGTATAC